AATCAATGAGGCATTGCTTATCAGTAGATAAATGCAATTCTTCTATTAAACCCTGCTCTACGATTTCATTTTTATCAGTCACGTCGTCTTGCTCTAATTCAGATATTTCAGTTTGATCATTTCCCGAATAAATGGTTTTTCTACTTGAATCTGAGGGAACGGTTTTTGTATCACATGATTCGGATGTCGCTAAAGAAACATCGTGATTAACTGAAGATAGGTCTGGATTTTGATCCTGAAGTTTCTCCTCATGCTTTCTCTGCCTGATCGAATCACTAACACTTTCCTTATATACCTCATCCAGGAATTCATCGATCACTTTAGATGCGTTAGCATCCTCTGGCGATTTAGCCTCCGGTTGAGTCTTCATATCCTGGTATACATAAAAATTTGAAGCGTTACTAGATACATCGGGATTTGGAGCGGGTTCATCGGAATTTGAAGTATTATCTGATGCCGGAACATCCTTACTTTGTGAGATTACCTCTGAAGAGACATCGTTAGAATTTTTTGTTTCAGTAGGTATGCTCGTTTCTTTAGATGCGATAGATGCAGAGCATCCTACTTCGTAGATATCCTCACGGAGTGAGTCATTTTGCGAATCCTTCTGTTCTAATTTCGAAACTCTAGATCTAAGCTCGTTGATTTCGGCATCTCTTAACTTAGTATTCTCTGCACTTTCTTTCGCGGATTGTTCTAATTCCACAATTCTAGCCATAAGTCCCGCTTCCTTAGCCAAGAATTCAGTCTTCTCCCTTTTAAGTTCAGTAATCTCGGCTACAAGCTTGGAATTCTGTTCTAGTAAATCGATTTTAGATTGAGTGTTTGCCATTTTTTATATAAGATACAGATATGTTCAAAAGCTTCGCTTCATTGCTATATAATAAAGTTTAAATCATGTGCGCATTATAATTTGTAACGTCAATTATTTATCATGAAATCTTTCTGATCGTTCCCTTAGGGAACGGTTTTTGCCAAGAATTTTTTTTTTATTTTCCGATGCACACCGCACCACATACATGTGAATGCATACATATAGTTAAAAATCACAATCTCGAAATATGGGTTAACCAATATTTTATTGATTTTTGCCTATAAAAAGAGAAAAACACTATGAACCTAATTCAAGATCTCATGTGAGAACATAAACTAATCTTTTTTAACACAAACTACAATTTCAGGTTAAGTTCTAGTGCATATTGTTTGAAGCGACTAAACCAAGCCGGTTTGTTCTGGACAACAGTTCTTTTTGTAGTGTAAAGAGCCTGCTCTTTATAAGTATGATATATTTCCTTTGGCAGGACAAAATAAAATTTGATATCGTCGTCTTGATCAATTCTTTCAATATATTTTTCCAAACCACTCTTGATGATAGGATGGCTCTTGGCAACAGTCATCTGGAAGAACATGTTGGGGGGAATAATTGCATCAAAGGACGCGTTGTTCTTTTGAATTGGTATACAATACATTTTAGGTGCGATCTCTTTAATATCACTGAACGTTAATTTGCCCATATTATTATCCAGTTGAAGCGTATGCCTCGTTTTGGAATCTTCGAATAAAGGACGAACATTAAATTTTCCTCCACGTAGCAACCTTTGATGAGCGAGTCGCTCGAATATGGCACCTCGAAGTGTACTGTATTCACTCATATCCTCACTTGTATTCACGAAATTCTGCAAGTCATATTTGTAATTTCGTGAGAGTCTATCCACTGCCTTTTCAGAAACGTAATCGGACGCAAACTCTAGAATACACTTATTATAAAAGGGTACCCTTTCATAATATCTCCCTGCAACACCTTTCCTTTTATCTGATTTAGTTACTGTAGGAGCCGTTGACGTAGAAGGTACTCCAAACTCATCTTCCTCATTTTCCTCTCCTTCTGGTACGTTTGTACATATGTGGACGAGTTTGTGACTTATGCTACTGCCATCGTTGCCATCGGTGATTTCACCAACAAAATTTAATATCTTATCATCGACTAAATTAATTGCGTTCTCCAGAAGACTTTGCTGGACAGGATTGAGAGCATGAAATAAGACATACCGAGGAATCCCTCCCCATTTATTATACAATTCCCGAACTGTTTTTTGAGTAAGATGTTGGAAAAGCCTAATATTATCTCTGCA